CCCTCTCCATCAGGCTCTGATATGTTTCTTTTTTTTTTTTTTTTTAAGTGTGTAAGGGCAGCTTTTTGCCTGTAATTTTGCCTGCCTAGGTTGGCACTTCAAAGAGGTGCAGGTAGATGTATTGCTTGTCCGTGCTCAGCCTCTGCAAGTGGAAAATTGGGAAATGCCGCCCTGGAAGTTTGATAGCTTGTGAGGCTCAATAGGTTTTGCAAGCGGAGGTGGACGTTAGTTTAATAACTGGTAAGGTGGAAAGGGTAATATTAGAGTTGCTTCTTGTGCCACAGTGTGTGAAGAAGTGAGTGAGTGCCTTAGTTTGCTTCTTATTGGAAAGCATTTCTATGAGACCAGAAAAATAGCTGCTGTATGTCAGAATGAAATGGTGTCCAACTTTCCCAGGTCTTTCTGTTTGCTTGAGATCATAAGCAATCTGAAGAGGTCTTCCTCGTTCTCCAAAATCATACGTAGGTAAGAATTTCTCCTTCCATGCCTGACTAGTCAGGCCCCTTGCTGTGACATCAGGCCCCTTGCTGTGACATCAGGCCCCTTGTCACAATTGTCACGAACCCTTTTTAGCTTGCCCAAACTTCTGTTTTGCTATCTGGAAATGTGATTCCTTTAGAAACTCATGAGCTCCACTTTTTTTTTTTTTTTTTTTTCAGTTGTCTGAGTTACCAACTGATTGATTGGTTAACTGAGTAAATTTGTGGTTTTCACTACCTAAACAGTCAGCCTTCTGTTTATAGGGGAAGATTGGCTAAGACTGTCTATGCATTTTATTTTTCTCTAAAACTAAAAAAATTGCCTACGTTATACATCTGTTTTTATGGTGGCACTGAAGAATTCTTCTGTGAAGTGGAAGCTGTAGTGAGTGCTTGATTCAGTAGACCTGTGCTTATTCTTCATTTTGTTAGTTTTCCTCAGCCTTATTCCAGATGCAGGTCAGAACTTGAAGACTATCAGGATGACCCCTTTTTTTCAGAAATAAACTTCAGCTGAACTAAAACTGGCTGACATCCGTAGTAGAAACCCGTTATACATAGGTTGATGTGAACTGTGAGGAGACCGAGACTCCAAACCTCATTACGAAGCTTTCTTAGGAAGATGGGAGCTGCTACATTCTTACTAGATGCTGGGGGCATGTTCACGTGTCACCTTCTCGAGGAACGATGGAGAGATATGCAGGGGTGCTGAATATAGCCAGATACACAAACAACAAATAATTCAGCTTTTTTTTTTAATTGCTTTTTATTTCATCTTTTTTTAGAGAGAGAGGACAAGATGATTTGGACCTTCACTGTTTCTGTTTATCTCTTTCCCCTGTCCCTATGAAGAGTGGAGATACATGGGACCTTTCAGGCATATTTTCTTATTTTCAAGGTGCCTCTCAGTGAATTCTGTGTTGAACTTTCCCCAGACCCCAGCTGAAGATGGGTCATATGAACAGGAAAATTCTTATACTACCTCTTTTGTTTACTGGTTTTGGATTGAGATTTAAGCCTTAATACTTTTTCAGATACTATTTAATGGAGAATCTTCTTAATAACTGACTTCCATTTCAGAAGGTTAATGGCAGCAGTATCCAAATCCAGAGCTCTCTTGGAAGGACTACAATTTGTTTTTTTTTTTTTGTAATTTATAACTACAAAGTTGTAATTACAAAATTGTAATTTGTATTTTTTTTTTAATTTTGCTTGTAATCTGTTGAATAAACAGTTTCATGTAATTTTATGGTTTAGTATTCATTATGTCTTCCTGTGTTTCTGTGAAAAGTCTAGCCTTTGGTAAATAAGGAGAGGACTTTTATTAAAAATTCTTGTATATTTTTAAAACAATTGTAAATTTAAAATTGATCTGTATACAGTATGCTTAGTCTTTTTAATCTGGAAGAATTAATTTATATATTTGTTTTTTAAATTGTAGTTTAAACTGATTGTGGAAAATCCGGGAAAACCTGTTGCATCTGGACTTAAAGTTACAGCTATTGTGGAATATTATCCTGACAGTGAGGAGGATCTTCATGATAGACTACTTCTTTTGATAGAAGAAGACATAGTTGATATCCCCCTACTTGGGTATGACAGCCAAATTCCATATGTTGCTGGTACTGTTTCTGGTTTAATCTTGTGAAAAGTGTGTCAACTCATGTCACATACAGTTAGGTAACTAATCTGTCAACTGCATTGAAAGCAACTATAGGTCTCTTTAGAAGAGTAACTTTTTTTTCTGAGAGCAGACACAGGTAAGAAATTAATCATCCTGATGTCTAAATTGCTATAGTTTTGAGGTTCCTGCCTTTGCGTTACTCTTTATTGGAAATTATAGTTAATCATTTCTAATTCTGAACAAACATTAGACAAGTTAATCTTTTTCATCTCCACCGTCCATACAAAGCCATTTATATAAAGATATTTAATAATTGTCCATATATACATAACTGGATTATAGTAAAGCATATGTTGCTTAATTTTAAAAAATGATGTGTGCATTATAAAATGAGGTCACAAATACATTTTCGTCCATCTGTGTGTGTGTATGTATGTCTGTGTGTGTTGTACCTAACCCCTATATTGGTAAGCTTCTAGTATAATTTAAATTTTAATGATATGTTTCAGCATAAAAAGCATATAGGACGTGCTTTAGGTCCCCTCATTCTCAGTGTTTAAAAGCTAGATATCTAAACCTGAACTGCTCACCCTATTAAAATTTTCTCTGGGGTTGCTCATGTGGCTTATTTGCTGATTAGCATATCAATCAGTCAATCCAGCTGCCATTTTACTTTTGAAGATCATAACCTTTAGGCTAATCTGGTACCTCAAGGTAATATACAACATAAAAAAGACTCCATATCTGCCAGGATGTTTGTTCAGAGCAAGCATCTTATTTTAGTTGCATGGTTAGTTTCTGGGTTAACAGTTTCTTAGCTGTTAGCTAAGCTGTTTCTTAGCTGCTTCGTTAGTCAAATTCCAAATTATTGTTACTCTTACATATTTAATAATTTTACGTTATTGGTGGTACACCAGTAAAAATAACATGCATTATTGCATTGCTACTGATAAAATACTGAAAGATGAAATAGTCAATTTCAAAAATTACTAAGGATTTAGTACTTAATGAAACTTAGATTTACATAAGAGCGCTATGTATTGCTGTGACACAAAAACAAGTTTTTTGGCCACAATTTTTGAGTTTCGTACAACTTGAATAAAATACTTATTTTCATTGTCTCTGAATATCACTAAAATTATATCCTAGCAATATTTTTTTTAAGATTTGTACATCTTGTACAAGATGGAAAATAATGTTAAAGCATGTCAGAACAAGTTTAGTAAATTCATAAATGTAGTTTAAGATTACTTTGTACGATACAAAAAATGTCTGGAAGCTGCAGATATTACCTGGGTTGTGTAGTTTAAATATCTGCTGCCTATCTATTATCCATTAGTTTACCTTTAATCTACTGTCTTTGAACTTATATCACTTTCCAGCTTTTGTTTCTGTATGGGTTATAGTTTAATATGTGTTTATGTGATACTCTAAGCATCTGTAGACTTCTGGATCTCTTACGTGCGTTGATAGCATTTTATAGTAAGAAGTTGTTTCTTCCTAAAAATTAACTGATAGTTTAGAAAGAAAGATGAGAAGATTTAACCTTTTGCTAGCAATTTGTGCAATTCCCTGTTACATCTACCTACTTATTTTAAAAAGTCTGGGAAGTGATTTATCCAGAACATAGGAAAAGTTAGTTTCCCATACAGCATTAAACTGCAATAACACTTATTCTTGTAACCATTTATTTGATAGAAATGTCCCCAAGAGAATTCTATTTCTCTTGTGCTTCAGTGACTTTAATATTATAGTTGTTTGTTTTGCAAGTAAAATTATTTATAAATTATCTGCTTGGCACATGCGACACTAACACCGATGAGTTGTCTCAATGATTGGTCTTACATATTTCATACCAGTTTTAGAGGCCACATGATGTGCTTAGTTGCAGGAACTGTGGGGAGGGTGACTGTCGCTTCGTCCAGGTCACTGATGAGCAAGCTGAATAATATTGGACCCAGTACTGACCCTTGGGTTGCACCACAGGCTACAGGCCTCCAACTAGTGCTAGATCACAATCTTCTGCCACTTGCCCAGTTCTCAGTCCACCTTACTGTCCACTCATTTAGCCTGCACTTCCTGAGCTTGGCTATGAAGGTGTCAAAGGTTTTCCAGAAATCAAGATTGGAGCAAAGAGGGCATTCAGTATGTCTGTCTTTTCTGTGTCCTTCATCACCAGAGCCCCCTCTCCATTCTGCAGCGGGTCCACATTTTCCCCAGTCCTTTTTTTTTTTTTTTTTTTTTTTAACATAACTGTGGTTTGAAGAAGCCCTTCCTACTGTCCTTGACAACCCATTCCAGATTCAATGGGCTTTGGCCTTCCTAGATGCCATCCCTGCATATTCCAGTATTGTTCCCCGGAGACCTGTCCTTTTTTCCACCTTCCCCACACTTCCTTCTTCTGTTTGAGTTTTGCTAGAGGCTCCTTGTGCATCCATATAGGCCTTCTCCACCCTTTCCTGTATTTCTGGCTCACTGGGATGCACCAATCTTGAGTTTGGAGGTGGTGATTCTTGAATATTAACTAGCTTTCTTGGACTACCCTTCCTTCTATGGCATTATCTCATGGAATTCTTTCAGCCAGGTCACTGAAGAGGCCAAAGTTTGATCTTCTGAAGGGCTGTGATCCTACTTACTGCATTGCTTTCTTCTTCCAAGATCCTGAACTCTATCATATCATGGTCACTGCAGCTAAGGTTGCCCTGACCTTCAGTACTCCAACCAGTTGTCCTTTGTTTGTTAGTGCAAGGTCCAGCAGCACCCCTTTCCTCATTGGCTCTATCATCAGTGTCAGAAATTTGCCATTAAAGCTCCCCAGGATTTCTTGTGCCTTGCTCTGTTATTCCTGAAGCAAATATTAAAGTAGTTAAAGTACCCCATGAGAAACAGGACCTGTGATCATAAGGCCACCTTTAACTGTCTATAGAAGGCTTCATCTGCTAACAGGTGGTCTGTTAACAAACACCCACAGCAGTCACCTCTGTTGGTCCTTCATCCTTGCTACTACACTCTTAACCTGCTCATGAGGTTCAACAAGGACAAGTGCAGGGTCCTGCACCATGGGAGGAATAACCCCAGGCACCAGCACAGATTAGGGGTTGACCTGCTGGAACGCAGCTCTGCGAAGAGGGAGTTGGGAGTCCTGGTTGATGACAAGTTAACCATGAGTCAGCAATGTGCCCTCGTGGCCTAGAAGGCCAATGGGATCCTGGTCTGCATGAGGAGGAGCGGTGCTAGCAGGTCAAGGGAGGGGATCCTGCCACTGCTCAACTATGTTGAGGGCACGTCTGGAGTATTGTGTGTAGTTCTGGGCTCCCCAGTACAAGAGGGACGTGAACTTTCTAGAGAGGGTGAAGTGGAGAGCAACGAAGGGACTGGAGCATCTGTCGTGTGAGGAAAGACTAAGCGAACTGGGCCTGTTTAGTCTGGAGAAGAGAAGGCTGAGAGGAGATTTGATCAACATGTTCAAGTATCTGAGGGGTGAATGCAAGGAGGATGGGGCCAGGCTCTTCTCTGTGGTGGCCGGTGACAGGATGAGGGGTAATGGGTGTAAGTTGAAACATAGGAAGTTCCACCTCCATGTGAGGAAGAACTTCTCTACTGTGAGGGTGACAGAGCCCTGGAACAGGCTGCCCAGAGAGGTTGTGGAGTCTCCTTCTCTGGAGATCTTCAAAACCCGCTTGGATGCCACCCTGTGCCACGTGCTCTACATGTCCCTGCTTGAGCAAGGGGGTTGGACTAGATGATCTCAGCCTCAACCTCAACCATTCTGGGATTCTGTGATCCACCCTTAGGGCCAGCTCGTTTCATTCCAGTTGCTCTCGCATAAATGGCAGCTTCCACACTTCCCATTTCCTTGGCTGCCTTTCCTAAAGAGCCTGTAGCCTTCCATGGCAGCATATATATTTTTTTCTCTCCTTTATGAAATATCTTATACAGGTGAGATCTGCCTCACTTGGCCAGAAAGATTTATCTTCTTCATCATTTTCATGTTCTGTGTTGCATGGAATCCTGGTCATGAGATCCAACTGACCCACAAAACTGTTAAACTCTCTAATTTCTTTCTCGTCCGGTCTGTGTTTGTATCTTGTCCTTTGCTACATGAAATACCCCCTGAAGTGGCTTTCTTGATTTTTTTTTTTTTTAAGATGCTACATGAAAGATGGAAGCAGACCTCTGAAGTCCTTTTGATTTCAGCATAGATTGAGGTGAAAACAGTGTGGAACTAGAGACCTTGAAATGCAGTATTTGGAAATATATAGCAAGTGTAATCTTTCAGTTGTTTGATAAGCCTGATCAATTCTCAGGTTCATTTTGCAATCCTTTTTAGCATTCTCATGAAACAAAACCTGCAGGTTTTTGTTAATAGATGTGACCTTATAACAGTTAAAAAATGAGGTTCCAGGTTGAGTCGGATGTGAGCATCTTTTCCAGGTCTGGAGCTGAAACAGCAGAACAGATGTGTGTGGATTGGAGAAAAATTCTTCTAGTAGGTGTTGGTGTGGATACTGTTATTGTTGCCCACAAAACTTGGTTTTGTTCACCTGGTCTTAAAATGAGATCATTCTAAACAGGTGAAAATTGGAATATCACAACAGGAAAAATGAACACAGAATTCTTTATTGTTAAAGATTCATTGCAAATGTAGTGTACTTGTATTATGCTGCCTGTTCAGAGGTATTTAAAGAACACTGCTGTATCAGACTATATTTTGTTACAGTGAAATTAGAATTTAAGACCTTCAAGAAAGCCCTAGTTTTCTGAAGCAAGTATTAGCTCTTCATTAGGGCCATGCAGTACCCAATACAGCAAAGTCATTGTGTTGGCTGAGGCTCTTAAATACAGATAGCTTGGGTCATTACCCACCTGTACTTGATATAGTATGTTTTGCCAATATCACAGAAGGTGTTTATAATCTGAGACTGTTAACTGAAAATGACATGCATTTTTTTTCCCTCTAACTTCAGTCGAGACAGCTGATAATAAAATCTAGTAAATGTTGACTCTGTACTTATTTTATGCTGCAGTTAACTCAAGATAATGACAGCTTTGAAAATACTTTATTCAAGTTCTTGTACTATAAGAATATATTTTAGTAATTAGAATGTATATGTTTCTCTTTACAGTTTTATTTCAGCTGATTGCTTAAAGCTAAATTGTTTTAAAGTTACATGAATAAGTCGTGGTATTCCAGGAGACAGATTGGCAGATCTGCTTAATAAATACTATGTACTGTACTGCTGAAGTGAGTTGCATAAATATTCAATTATTAGGAGAACCGGAGGAAAAGCAGAACTTTTTTTTTTCACTGTAGTGTAGTGTTCAAGCTAGTTCCTCTAAAAATACAAATGTATTTTCAAGTTTTGGAGCAGATATAATCCTGTCTCTTCTCTTTGCAGATTAATTCCATGCTGTTATCTGGAAATTGAGCCTGAGATTAATTTTGGTACAGTGATTGTAAACAGTAAAATAATTAATAAAGAGATTAGCATTACTAACCATGGATCATCTCCAGGTAAATATTTATTATGTGTTAAGTTATACAAAGATTTAATTTTCTTGGAAAAAAAAAATTACACAAGTTAACACTTCAGTGACCAAGCAGTCTAGGATCCTGTGCAGCAAAAAAGTAACTGAAGGCATGGGTTATGCATATGCAGTATTGTAGTTTATAGGTTTTACAAAAGGTCTTTAACTTCTGTAGGCAAATACTGTGTTAATGCTTAGGGAAGAAAAATGAATGTAGAACTTCGAGTTCCAGGAGTTCTCTAGTTTTGAATCCCATCTGAGAGTTGTAAAAATAACTAATGTCCTTTACATTACAGCACCCAGCATACATAATGGCAAATCATATCTTTTGCTTTGTTATCTTTGTTTTGATTCTGTGGTCCCATTAGCTGTCTACTGATTAAACAAATACAGCTCCCAGACCCTTGAGAGCTTAATTCTTTGGAATTGATGGTACATGTTACTAAATTTGAGGAGTCTTTCTCCTTGCCACAATAGTTCTGAAATCATACAGCTTTCAAAACAAGTGCATCCTTCAATTTCTCTGAGGGACTCTTCTAAAGAGGGTAAGAAATGTGGAGAATGTTGTATAGGAATGCACACGTGACCCAAATTTGAACTTAATTTATATGCTCAATATTGGTATTTTGAAAAAGGTGGATTGGTTACTGAGTCTATTAATTTACTCAGCTTGTGAGTTCATAATAAACCAACCCTAAACCTTTTCTGGAGCTGGTTTGAGAGAGAAAATAACATAGTTCAAACTATGTTAGTACCACATGAAATTTGTGAGCATTTATAAATGCATTATTTAATGTGTACCTGTGAAGTAAAGCAAATTGAAACACTGACAGACTTTACAAGCCTTCAGCTAGTTACGTTGTTGAGAAGTTAAGAACAAACTAGATATTCCATTCTAGGATTAAGAAAATGGAATAATTTCATTAGCCAAAACATTTTTAAAAACTTTTTGATTTTTTTTTCCTCCAAAAAGCATGTCCCATTGAAGGAAAAAAAGGTATTTTCTAGCCAATTCAACTTAAAGATGTAGTATGTGCTTTATATTACCAGCCATTAGTCGTACATACTAATTTATTGCTTAGAGCAGTGATTAGATACCTGCATTTCAGATCATATCCCTTGTACAAAGTCCAAGTACTTTTATTTGAGTCTGCATATTACTTCAGACAATAGATAATCTTTACTAAAACAGTCCTTTTTTTCCTACCACTCTTCAAAGTATTTCTTCCTGCTCATCATATTGTGACAGATAATTAATGCTGCTGATGAAAACACACTTTTTTTTTTCCTCCACATTTAAAAAAATCCTTAAAATACATGTCCTACAGAGATTCAACATTCTCCTCTGCAATATATTGTGCTCTATGTATTTTAAGTTGTGAAAACTATCAGTTACTTGCAGGTAGCAGATCTCTTTTTGGGTATTTGCTTAACTTTCTAGCTGCCTAGACTGTGTATAAAGTACCTTGTACTTTAAAACATTACAGGTTCTTTGTGATATCATCAGTTTGATCTGGAGTGTTATTACCTGTTACAGTGTGCTGTTACAATGATAACTTGTCCAGTGGCATTAGACATGTGAATGTAGTGTTTAGAGACACCCTAGAAACTTTTTTACAATTTTCTTATTACAAGAGGCACTCCATGTTTCCAATTTCCAATATCCTATTTCCATAGGAATATCTGCCTACTGTTATGATTTCTAAGTTGTGTATCTTTTTTTTCTTTTTAAGGTACTTTTAAACTATTATATGATGGGGTTGTCCTAGTTAACATAGAACCTACCAGTGGAGTGGTAGAGCCGAAAACTGTAAAGATGATTGAAGTGGGTATCTGTACAGATGTGCCAAGAATCATCAACGAAGTGATAAAGTAAGTTAGTGTATAGTTGCATAAATCCAGCTCTATAAACTGATTTTAGTAGTTTATTTTCATGTGGTATGAATTCTAAAGTCTGTATTATGGATATACTTAACTAAAAAAATTCATAGGTCAGTTATTGTCTTCTCTATTTATTTTCATTAAAATAATGTGCTGATTGTATTATCTCCATAGCACAGTCATGTATAAATTATGTACCTGGTTGCTTTATTAAAGATCTTCCATTATATGGATATACACCTCAGTAAAAATTTGGAATCATGCAAAGCAAGGAATTTTTTTTCTTCTCATGTTCAGAAGCTTTTGAAAAGGATAGTTCATTCTATTAGAGCAGTAGAGTATATTACTAAATTCTTTTGTGCGACAAGAATAAAGTAGCTTGTTTAAGCAGAATTCTAAAAACAAATATTTGTGTAATGTCTGTGTGGTCCTGTGGCGTTCTGAGGCATCATCAAGCTCAGGCAGTCGGGCAGGAACAGTCACAGTTCTGTGCTTATTCAGGTCAACTTCTAGTTCCAATTGCCTGAGCAAAAGTTATGAACCACTCACCAAAAGCGAGATCCAGATGTAGAGGTTCAAATAAAAAAATAATTTCCAACAAAAACAGCCTCTCCCCACAAAAGCAGCAGGTATCAAGTGATTCTTCCAGTTCTGGTGTTTGGCTGAGGGGAATCCATGTTTTTGCACAACATGACTTTCTTGATCCGTAATATTTCTGTTAAGTATTCTGCCAGATATGCTTATTTTTGTGCTTGACCTATCTATGGAAAGGCAGTAATTTAGTTTAAATGCTCTAACATGATTCAGTTTTGTAGAGATTGTAATATTAAAATAAGTTGTTATTTTTATTCTAACTTTTTTTGTATGTGTAACATACCTGCCAACTCTTACTGACAGAGTGGAGCTAGAAGGACATGACTGCACAGAGATACGGATCAAAGCTGTTGTGGTTGAACAAGTTCTTAAAGTTCTAGGAGCGCCTCATGGAAATGAAGTGAAATGCATTCATTTTGGATCTGTTTATTTTGGGTCTTCAAAGACTGAACAAGTATTTCTGTACAATAAAAGTCCAGAGTGTATGGACTGGGTAGCAATACTGGAGGACAATGCTGCTGGAGGAGAAATGGTAAGAAAAGGGTTTTTTAGTTTTTAATTTAGTTGAAAACTTGTTTTCATTTCTGCTTTTGCATTTTTGCTTTTGCGGATCCATATCCTAGGATTTACTATGTGAAACTATTTTCTAATCATAGACCTACTGCAATTTCTGTTAACAACAGAATTTTACTATCTTTGAATTATTTTTTTAGATATTGCTGTTTAACCACGTGGCATATTGTTAGTCATGCTAAGTATGTTCCCATGTTAGTCTGTGGGTAGTTTCATTTGACTTATTAGCTGTCATCACGTAGTAGCAGTTAGCAAAACAAATTTTGATATTCCAAGATGCTGAATGCTGTTTTACTTGATTTTCGTTAACAATGAATTGATCTGAGTGAGCATCATCTTTGTAAAAAAAAAAAAATCTTCAAGACACTGACATTTAATTGAAGTTGAAAAATTAATTAGCTGCGTAATATTAAACTATTTTGTGTTAAAAGCAACATGATGTTTTATTACTTATATTATTATGTTTTTCTACCTCTTATAGTTTCTTATCTTTAGCATGTGTGAGGGTAGCCAAAAACAGAAGTAGGACTGGCTGAACTGTTATTATATTCTGCCTTTATTTATTTTTGTAGGGTACAGATCTTCAGAAGGCTACAGATGCATTTTTAGGAGACTTAAACTTCACGAGTAATGCAAGAGATGTAGATGTTTCCACCTTGATATTGTGCATTCCCAATCAAGGAACCTTGCTACCTTATCAGAGATCTACAATTACGTTGTGCTTTAGTCCAGCGTAAGTTCCTGATCCAAGTTTGAGCAAGAGAAAAGTTGATGCATCTAAAGTATTGTATAAACAATTCTGTTAGAGAAAATCATTTTAAGTCTATTTAAGTGTTCTTGTTCATTCTGCAGATTTATGTTAGAAAAAGTGTAGTATTTCTGTAAGAGTTTGGAAGAATAGATGCTTCACTATCAAGAGACTGAAACATATTGGAGAGCTATTATTATAACAACGAAAAAAAAAAAGGCTATGCATAAAGCAATATTTTTGTTTCAGGCCAGAGCAAGAGAACATGCTCTTTTCATTTTCCTTTAATTCCTAGGTTTAAATTTGTTACTCTTCCATTTTTGGAAAGAATGATAAAGATCACTTGCTTAAGTTATAACAAGTGCCAGAGAATCCAGATTTAAAAATGAAAAATACACCTTGATTGTTAGGCAGTTTGTTTGTTCGTTTGTTTTGTCTTGTACATCAAAAATGTGATTTTTGCAGGAAATTTAAAAGGGTCATTGGACTGCATGATGTGTCAGCAAAACAAGATTATGTCCTGTTTCTAAGATTTGAGGCTGTTGGGAGTAAAGGTGGCTTTCTGCAGACCCCCAGTGATGATGACACACCACTCAGAAGTATGTTAATAGGAATGTACTTTTACTAAACTTGTATCTTTAATCCCTTTGCATTAAAAAATGCTGTGGTAACAGTGAGTAGAAAGAAGAGGGAATCCTGCATGTCATGAATACACCTGCTGTCAGGGAACACCTGAAACTTGATTATAAATGCAGCTATTCAATAAATAAAAGCCATCTGCCAGTCAGCAGTACTTTGATGATGCCAAAGTTACTGTGAATTTTCAAGTGAATGTCTCCCTTTCATTAGTAGAAGAGTGTACTATGTAGCAGGCATTGTGATTAAATACGAATATTCTAAGTTTATGGAGGTTTGCACTATAAATCATGTTACTGTCTAACTTTGTTTCTACAACCATACAGCTACCTTATGACTCTCCTGCTTGTAAGCTAATTTGTGGATGTTTTTCCCCTCCCTCCTCTTCCTCCTTCTCTCTCTCTCTTTAATATAGTGAATCATCCTCCTCACATGGAGTTAGCTCTGACTGGTTCTGGGCTTCCTGTCATGTTAACTTTCAATCCAGGACCAGTTATTAATTTTATGGACTGCTTCTTGGACGAACAAGTTGAAGTTCTTTGCGAACTCAGGAATGAATCTGAGTCACTTCCAGTAACTTTCAGCTTCCGAAAGACTGCCCACTTTCATATTTCTCCTAAAAAAGGAAAAATTGAAAAACAGTCTACAAAGGTAACCTACAGCTTTCCTTTAGATGATGTAGATATGTGGATTATATTACTCTACAATATTCAGTGGTGGAATTTTTTGAAAATACAAGTTCCTTTATATATCTGCAATATTGAATACTTTAGCCATGACGTCTAACGTAACCTGCATGTATAATTTGTCTTCCTTATATAGAATTATTGTAGAGTTCTTTGTTGTATTTCAGGAAGAAGCAAGTATTATTTTAAATGAGAAAAAAAAAGGTATAGCGTTAAGGAAATTTTACCCTGTTTTTCCCTAGCTTTAAGTACTTGATGTTTTACTAACTCAAAAAGTGCGGTTTATGCACATAAGCCTACCACATGTGCACATTTTATTTTTATTTTTTTCAGTAAATCAGAAATTTCTGCATAATATATTTTTGTCCTTAGAAGTAACCCTATGTCAAATTTAAGTCAAATAGGAGGCATGTGTAATTTAAGAAATGTGTAACTTAGAGTACGGTGAGAGAGCAATCCTTTACAGTGAAGAGCAATCCTTTATCAGAGAAATGAGCAAGTAAGATTTTCCTGATGTTCACTCATTTTATTTTCAATTTTTTCAGTAAATCAAATTTCTGTGTAATATTTTTGTCCTTAGAAGTAACCCTATGTCAATTTAAGTCAAATAGGAGGCATGTGTAATTTAAGAAATGTGTAACTTAGAGTACGGTGAGAGAGCAATCCTTTACAGTGAAGAGCAATCCTTTATCTGAGAAATGAGCAAGTAAGATTTTCCTGATGTTCTAATGTATTACAATTTATAATTCTTTAAATTGCTAATTTAATGTAGTAGTTGACATGTTTTAAAAATGAGTGTTGAACAACGGCCTTAAAAATAGCAAGGGCCCTTTACTCAGTAGGAATAAGCATTGGTTTTAATAACATATAACAGCACATCATTTTTCTGTTTTCTTCCTAATATGTCTCAACTGCCATTTTTTTTTCCTCCCCTAGGAGGTGATATTTTCATTTTCCCCAAATCAAATAGGAGTATTTAAAAAGAAACAAGTTGTTGATATCATTGGTTTAGGACGAGAGGAAAATAATTCCCAGATCTTGAAGACAAAATCCTTTCACCAAATACTTTTGAGATTCATTGGTGTGTGCAAATCTAAATCAAAAAACATTCCATTCAAAATTAATCCTGGTAAGTTGCTAAAAATAAAAGTTCCAAAAACCTTATGTATGTGTGATAAACAATTACAGTTTACGCCTTAAAAACAAACAAACAAACAAAAAACCTCACAAAAAAGCATTCAAGGGTAATTTTTCTCTCTAATTTTTATATATTAGAAGATGAAGATTCTCTTTGTATCAGTGATTGCCATTGCATTAGGGCTTATAAGGTTGAGTTGCAGGTAGTGACAGAGTTAAAGCAAAGAGAAAAAAAATAGGCATGGCTATCTATATATTTAATAGCTGTATAACTGATAGCTGTGGGCTAAAGGTTTAATGTAGCATTCAAGGCTTAAATGGATTTGAAATATACCAACAAATCTAAATATGTACATATCATAGTGCATTTTCTAGTGGCTCTATATTTTGTTTATGTGTATGTATAAATATATCCATATTTATATAATATAAAAATACATGTTTTTATATTTTTCATAATATTTGAAAAACTTTATATAAAAATATAGGTATATATTTTAAGGGTTATTCGCAGGGTATCTTTTCAGGTTTTACATTTACTGATATTTCTTGTTTTCTTCCTTGCACATTGTTACCCTTGAGGATTGTCAGCTTTTCTTCCTTCGCTCTTTGCTCTAACTTCTCCATTCCGCTCCTGCTTGCAGCTGGTGGAGAGGTTAGGAGGGGTGTCTGTACTGTACAGGCTACTGACACCCATGTTCTGCTTCCCCGTTTTACTGAAGTGAGGAGGCAATCATGTAGTTCAGGTCCTTATATAGATGGATTATTTGTTTTTCTATTCTCTTCGGCCTGTGTCTGTGGTAGGGAACATATCTTTGCCTGTGTATTTGGGGGTGGGAGGGAAGGGGGAGAGATTGGAGTGAGCCTCCTCCTGAACTGTTGCCTTCCTGAGCAGTGGAAGTTGCTTGCAGTCACTTCTGTTGTTAGAAGAATGGAAAGTAATTTTCCTTTATGCCCAAATCAAGGGCAATTTGTAGATAAGTAAGACCAATATATTTAGTTTGACATATCAAGTTCTTTTGGGAAAGTGTGCGGGAGTGTCAAATAATGGATCCTCCTTTAATTTTTGAGTGCTTTTTAAACATATATGTCATATTTCAGGAGATGTGAGCAAACAGATGGGTTAGTTCCAAATATCATTTTCTATTTTTATAAATTTTAATGTGTATGTGGTTTTCTAAAACTATCGTGAAAAAGGTCTGAGCTGCCTTTTTTTTTTTTTTTGGTGGTTTTTCTCACTGTAAGTCAATCCCTGTGTTTGCAACCCTAAGACGCTGAGGACAACGTTGTCCCGTGTGCACGTGCCAGTCACAGCAGGTCTGCAGTTTTGCTACGGCACTGGTGGACACAGCAGGGGTGTCTTGGGCTCTTGTCGCTGTGTGCCAGTGGCGTGGGCAAGTGGACGTTGTTGTCCTTGGTCTCAATGCTTCCCTCCCTCCTCTCTAGGGAAAGGGAGTGGGGTGGATAGCTGTAACGGGGCTGCTGGGCTGACCAGCATAGATTATCAGAGACTTTTTTGAACCTAATATTTTGACCTTCATTTAGAAAGAACTTATATAGATGCATGTAACATGTTTTTTTTCTGAATTTTAAGGCATAACACCAATGATTTCCAATCCAGCTGGACAGTTTGTTCCTGATGACACAGGACAGTGCACTGATATTGCACCTGTGGCAATACTTAAATCAACCCAAACACAAATTCATACTCACCAGATAAACAGGAATTGTAAGAATGATGTGCTTATACCTCTTCTTAATGACCACTCAGCCAGCATTGTACCTTTTGAACGGCATAAAAAGTACAGGTAACAGATGATGAAAAGATAGTATCTAAAACAAGTACTTCTGTATTCAGCTAAAGATTCCTACCTTATTTAACTAGTAGATCAAGATTAGTTGCTCATACAACACCTTGCTGTTTTTTTCAGGCAGAAAACTTTTAAATGTGTAGTGGTTGTCTTAGCCTCAAGCTTCTTACACGTACATTTCAAACCTCTCTTACATAGATTTCTTGAATTTCTTTCTTGTGTGAAACTCCAGATATAGCTATTTTATAGTTTCTGTTTTCCACTCTCCTAGCTTCCTTTGCAAGGTCAAATATTAATCAACTGTGATTTAAAAAAAAAAAAGTTTGCGATGAAATATGTATGTAGCAGAATCATTCAGTTTTCATTCTGACAAGCCCCCGAATCTTTCTATATGCATAATGAAACTACAATTCTATTTAAATATTTAGGACTATTTTCACAAAGACTGAGAGCTATAATTATGTAGATCCACAATTTTCTTATACTGACTTTGAACAGCTGGAAAAAGAAGCACATAAAGAGTGTTATACAGATTACATTTATAGATTTAGACAACGCCGCTTACAGAAGGATGCCTCTCGGTAAGAATTTATTTCAAGGTTTTAAGCTCATATGAAACAATATGCATACACATGAAGATTGACTTATTCTGCTTAAATCTAATCCAATACTGGAAGTGGTTATTGTTTTGGGACTTAAAATAATAATGTATTGAAAAATCTTTTTGTTTAAATGTTTATTTAGACACCTTTAGATCACTGACTGGGCAAACATATGGACAAAGGCCATACTTGAAATTCTTAAATAATGGGTTTTGCAAACTCAACATTCTTGTATGGTGTCATTCTTCTTGTTTTAAAAAAAACTTTTAAAATATTAGAGCTGTCAAGTTTTGTTTTCTCTGATTTTGTTCCGCAGGAAAGCAACCAAATATAGCCAATTCTCACTTCATGAATTTGTGTAGAGTAAGGCTAGAAGGACAATGTAAGCCTTTAATTTGCCTATTACTTTACACAAATCATGCAAGAATTCATGCATTGAACTCATCACTTCTGAATGAGCTAGACACATCAATTAGAAATACATACAATTTTTAAAAAGAGCAAGGGAGAATCCGACACAATCTTATTCTTCCTATTTTCAATAATCAACTGCAATTTAAAATCGGCTTTATATTTTCAATTTAAGTTTGCAAAACCTATTATTTAGAGATTAAAAATTAGTAATGTCAGAAAGTAATATGTGTAAACTTAACCTTGTGTTCTGTAATGCTGATTTGGACAAGATCTGCAATGATTAATATTAATGTATTTACAAATAAATGGTTTTCTTGAAGTAAACTGGGATTGGGTAGTGGATGAGGCTGTTCTTTATATGAATGCAACTTGCACATTTGACTGCAGGCATGGAAAGGAGAATATCATGGTTAGCAAATCAATTCTCTTGGTGTTATGGAACTTGGTCATAATTTTCTAAGTACTTGCTATGAAATATCTGGTAAGCGGTCTGGAGGTCTCAAATACAGCTGCAGGTGAAATTGGTTGGAGTTAAACTCTGACCAAGAAAAGTTAATTGTTAATTACTGTGGAAATAGGCAGTAGGTCCTCCAGTTTATATATATGCAATTAAAGGTTACTTTGTAATACTGGCATTTGATAACTTTTAAACAGCTCTTTTGTTTAAGATTTTTTTTTTTAGATATTCTACAATATCTTTATTGCAGGAGCCATATTTGCAATCATTTAGCCCTGTTATGGGAAGCATCATCTTAGGGTATGCATACTCTGTGGTATGCAGCTGGTTATATTCCTTGCTTAAACAATACAGTAAAGACTTCTCAACACTTGATATACTTTTTTTGATAGTGAAATATATTTCAAATCTTATTTTTTTAATAGATCAGTTAATGTATAGAACATAGAATGTCCACATATCTACATTTCCATGCTCTTTTTCTTTTCCTTCTTGTAGGGAATTTGATGCTTATAATGATTCTATAAACATAGGCCTTAAACCAGCAGATGGGCTGATTTCACCAAAGATCTCAATCACAGATATTCACAAGGAGAAGCTACATCTCAGAATGCTTCCATTAGATGAAGATTGCCTGTTAACTAGTCGAAAGTTGGAAGCAATTGGTTCTAAATCCTCAAGTGAAGAAGTAAGTTAAATGCTTGAGCAGTAATATAAGCATAAAGTAATTACTGTGTAACAAAGCGTAAAAATTTTGATCCTACTCTGAGAAAATGTTTTGTGGTCACTGCAGATTTGGAATGGGCTGAATGCCGTGCCAATTTCTGCCCAAGAGAAGGAAGATTGTAGCCTAACTTTGACACCAAAACAGCTTCATCAGATACACATTGGTAAGATTTCACTTGGGTTACTAAATGTGTGTAGTTGTTAAAGAAGTACTTATTTATAGTAACACAATTTATATTCATAATTGTTCACCTTAAGAATGAACCTTAATTCAGTGGTAGTTTGAAATCTATATTAATGTTTAACTGTAGGTTTGTAATTCTCTGACATGAGAAGTGAGGTATGAGTAGCCATGTACAACTTCAGGCCTGTTATGGGAAATGAGGGCTCCTTGTTCTCCTGTGACTTGTTTTGGGGTAGTATCTGGAGCAGCATTAACATCAAAAAGATTCAGGGAGGTCTTCAGAATGTTTCTGGGAGTTAGCAGTGAAGAGTGATACTTCAGTGAAGTACAACTCTTTATGATCATTAAAAATTATTTCAGAAGGAGGCTCTGTAATGGGGAGTAACCCTTTTAGAGCCCATGAAGGGACTTGTCTTAACAACATTTGGTACTAAAAGGAGATTTTTTCCCTCCTTTGTACAGGTCATAAAGCATATTTTCCCTTGAAAAAAATACTTGTGTGGTAGCAAAGCCTGGTTTATATTTCATTACTTTTTTCCATTTTTTTTCTTTTAAATAATTAATCTATTTTTTAGCTGGAAAAAGTTAGTTAGCAGCTGGGTATATTGGTTTACCTGGGGAAAATGCAATAAAATAAATGTAAGTATAAGATGCTTGAGGCTTATATAAGATGTTTGATCAGTGCCATGAATGATAAAGTTTTCAGGCCAGCATGACAGCTGGTAATAGCAGTAAGTCAAGTAATTAGGGCTTCCTAATATTTAATTTTTACTTTGTCATGTTGAAGATTTCATTTCATATATATTCCAGGTCCTTCTACTATAAACTTTGGTGATGTTTGTGTGCAGTCAATATCGGTCAGAAGATTGCATATCATCAATAACTTGTTGGTTCATATATGGGTACAAATTGAGATTGAGCCTGATGAGTTGCAGCAGACGAGTCCATTGTCTCAGGTGGTGCCTCCTCTTTCCAAGGCTTATATTCCAGTAGTATTTGAGACCAACACACTTGGGATTTTTCAAAAGTAAGGCTCTTTCATTTGTCTTGATTTACATATTTGCCTTATAGTAATACAACAAAGAAACATTTCACATGATTATTTTAGACTCTGTGTAATTATGATTCCCATAGAGTCATGAGATTCTGAATGGACCCCTTTGCTTTCCAAACTCCTCCTCAGAGGAATCTGGGGACACCAGGATCCAGTCTTTGTCTCAGACTTAGTCAACAGTGTTTATGTCTGAAGGATTATGTGCACAGTCAATCAGAGATACTATTCACCAAAATTTGGCAAAGTTCCAGCATGCAATTGGCCCCTTCCTGTGGACCTGTTGTGGGTAAGGAATCGCTCCACCTCAAGGAGTCACCTGGAGAGGTGTCCCTGCTCAGGAGGAGGTTCTGCAGTACAGGAGAACCCGATGGGCTCTGCGCTGCTCCCTACCTAGTGGGGCAGGAGATGACTGGCTCATTCCTGTTTGCGTAGTACATGCATTTTGGTTGGCACATACTCAATTAGCACCAGCCTAGGTGCTGTTTATGGAGAAGTAAAGCTGAGACAGGGGACAGGTGGCAAGAGGACCTTGCGGGGAGGGAAGGAGCACACTGTCACATGTAGTGAGTATTAGGGCTGTGTTTAGGAAGGAATGTATATACATATACATGTCTGTCTTGATAGAAGCCTGCTATTGCTATAGGTATTTCAAGAAAAAGAAAAAAAAAATAAAGGCATGTTAGTATATTAGGGAAAATTTTTCTCTTTATTTACTATGTTTTTTTCCAGCATAGTGTTGCATCTTTGCATCCATATTCAGAACTGTCATTACATCTCTGCCTAGGTGATTCTATAGGCAAATCTTCTTCTATATTTTTGGGTATCAGGATGAAATTCTCACTTTACTAATGATGTTAAAACAGTGTATGTCGAGTTATATGCAAAATGGTTGCAGATAACATTCTTTTGTCACTTTTAACATTCTGTGTTCACACTCAATTGCTTCATTAAGTTTTCTTGCCAATGATTTATATAAACGTATTTTGACTACTATGTAATATATAAATACTTTTTTTTTTTTAAACATTGCAGGTCTTTCACATACACAATAAATAATGGGAACACTGGGCATGTGCTGGTAATAGCAAAAGCAGTGTCTGTTGAGCTTGAGCTGTCTGCAAAGGAGTTGATTATAAATCCTATTCCTGGCTATCTGGCAGAGACAGAATTTCGAAGAACTGTCAGAGTATGCAATCGCAGAAACTATTCTGCTGAGTTTTCTTGGAAACCTATAATTACTGATAAAAATACTTCATTTTCGATACGGCCATCTAAAGGTATAGTATGTGTCTTGAATGTGGATAATGTCAAATTAGACAATCAGCTGATGCCACAAATTACATTTTTAGCTGAGAGTCAACATTTGTTTTACCCAAAAACACTTTTGGGTCGGAGAGTGTTTGTACCACGGCGACATTTGGAGACTGATTGTACTGTAGCAGCATTCCCTGTGTAAGCCCCACCTCTGCGTATTGGCTCCAGGCTGCTGTTTCTGTGTGCAGCAAACAGCTCTTGTGTAATCCTTAGTCTGAGTGCAAGTTGCTATAAAAAGGAGGCTGCTATTTACTGGCAGTTAGTGGCAGCATATAACTCATAAAGAGAGGAAGTTTTTGCAAATGCGTGAAACTGTTTAGAAGTCCATGTAGACAGTGAGTAGCAATACCAGTGAAATTCAGCCTATAGACTGGGATTATTGTCCACTTGTGTTATGGACCAATATTTGTTGGATGTACTCAAGATGTGAGCTTCTGCTTTCCCTATTAAATAAAGTGTTTTATCTAGAGTATGTTGGAGCTTTCCTATTGAAGTGCTAATTGCTAACCAAGTAAGATGAGCTGGTATAATTCAGTACAAGTATGATTTGGCTGCAGCAGGAGCTTGGTGTCACCTCATTCATGAGAAATAGGATAACTTTGGTGATATTAATTCAGAATCAATTGAAAACAGGAAAATGTGTATGTTCCTTTCTAGAATTATTCTTCCATCAGAAGGATTGTCTGTTTTTTTCCAACTGTTCTTCTTATATGTTTGAGTAATTTATGATTAAAAAATACTTATGACCTTTGGAGGATTTACTATAGGATGCCAGTAAAATGATATTATGCAACTGCTGTGAGAATTCAGAAACGAATCTTACTTAATCCATCATGTTATTCAACAATTGTAAAGTGTAGGTTTAGTCTTCAGTAATAGAAGGTCATTTGGAATTAAGAAGCTTGTGTTATTTGTAATTATGTAGTGTAATTTGAACAGTGTAATTATGCAGTGCATTACATGCTGCACTATGTAAATTGTGCAAATTTGGTTAGGTTTCGTGGAACCATATAGAGATCTGGAGTGTGAAGTTGTTTGGCATCCGGCGTTCCACTGTCCAGACACGGGAGAATTCAACTTGTGTGTGCACCAGGGAAATACAATCAAATTGAAATGTTTGGCAAAGGTAATACTTCATTAGAGAAAAACATGTGCTACGCTGTTTAACAAACATTCTTAAATATATTTCTGTGAGTGTATATTAAAAAAAACCTGCGTTTTAATCTCATATGCTTTCCATTTGGCGTATTCATGAAAATGTTCCTTCTTCGAAAGAAATGAAGAAGACAATGAGACTAAAAGATACTTTG